GTTGGTGTGATAATTTTCTTAGCATTTATGTATCAATATACATACTAATTGTTAATTTTAATTGTAACAAAAAAAAATTATAAAAATGTTTTATGCTAACATTTATTATAAAATATTATTTGAATATTACTCGAGATTAAACTAATTAAGAATTAAATATAAGTTGGGACAACTTCAACCTAGTTGGTTGGACATTTACTTTAGTAATTAAAAGGTTCTAAGTTCAAATTCATGTGAGTTTTCGTGGTTTGAACTAGCCAGATCAGCTATATGCAAACTAAGTTGATTTACCTCTCTATGGTTATTTGCTAGCTAGGATTACAAGGCATACTTCACCCTGAGTGCACCATCGAATAGTGGCTACAAATTTTCAGTACATCAAAGAATTAAACCCACGTCACTTAAAGAATAAATTTGAATTGTTCTATTTATCCTATTGGGCTAGCAGGATAGGGGGTGTTGCGCCAACGAGAGATTTCAATTCGCCTTTTGTGACAATAATTGTTTCATTTTATCAGAATACCTATTTATTATTCTTCTATTATTTTATTTAAAATTAACATTTATTGGGACAAAACTCTTTAAGCATAAAATAGGGCGTTTGGTTGGAGGGGGGAATTATGTGGGAAATGAATTGTAATTTCATGGGAGTTGAATTACTGGGAATAAAGTGGGAATTTAAATTCTAGTGTTTGGTTGACAGGAATAGAATTACTGGGAATTTCAATTCCAATGTTTGGTATACATGGGAATTGAAAGGGAATAAGTAGTATAAAGTAAAAGTTTTTGCAAAATTAAATTTTCAGTTAACAATAAATTTTTTTAATTTGAGTTAAATCCATTTTTGGTCCTACATTTATTGTGCGTTGGACACATTTAGTCCGTTATTAATTTTACCACATTTTGTCCAGACTTAATAAAAGTTGGACAATTTTAGTCTGCCGTCACAATTAACGTTAAATCCCCGTGAAATAGAAGGGCAGTTTTGTCCTTTCAAATGCTATTCTTCATCAGCTCCTATTTTCCCTTTTCCGTGCTCCCAGCCATGGCAGAGTAACAGAGTCTACATAGCCCTAGATTTTCGCCTTGCCCTATTTCCGAACTCAACTCTGGAACGATGAATTTGCTAATAAAGTCACTCCCTACCCAAATCTCACAACATCTCGGTCATCCTCATAGCCAATTTTATTGATACAAGCTCTAGCAGTCCTCCAACAAGCTTCTTTTGGTTCCTCCAGGACTGCGAGAACTGGAACCACAAAACCCAAAGAATCCTTACCCCCCACTGCATCATATGTGTTTAGCCTTGTAAAACTTACAAGAGAATCAGGTCCCGCTCCTTCTTGGCGCAGGCCTAGTGAAATTCCGTTCCAAGGTAAGACCGCAAATTTTATAAAAGTGATTGGATTTGTGCAACGCCCAGTTTAGATCTAGAACTTACCTGATGGAAAGTGTATGGCCGCCGCTGTTATTGTTCAAAATAACAGTGAATTTACTGATTCCACGTCTTATGTGTCTAGACAATTGTGGTTTTGCGGCCCAGCGCATCGGTATCGGGCGAGGATATCAAGTTTTACATCACTGATTTGTTGTCAAGGCTGAAAATCGGGCGTGCCCAGATGAAGAAAGAAGCTCTGGTGGCCTTCAATGAAGCGATTCAAGAAGATGAAAGGTATGTGGAAGCCGCCATTGAAATCAATAACTTCATAGTTGTGCTAGTGAGCCTTCTTGATTTTTAAGAAGTCGGCATTCACCAAGAGGCTGCAAAGGCGGCATCTGTAATTGCAGGTTTTCAGCCCTTCAGACTTGTTAAGTTTCTTGTGAATCTGCTGGTATTTTATACCGCCTAAGAATGAACAACTATAATATCTTGCTTGCCAGCCCAGAAAATGCATTTGCTGCACTCTTTAGTGCTGCTAGTATCATGTGGGACATGTGGCAATGGAATGCTTTACTCAGAGGGGATGACCTTACGGGAAAGAATTTTAATCATCCCCAGATGGCCATTACAAATTTACAAGGCACCTCTTGAAGACCCTTTTGCTTCTATTATGGACCACATAGCCTTTGACTGTTCTCTGGCTGCGACGAGGGAGAGGAAGAGTGTAGGACAACAGAGAGGCGAATGAGCATGATGAATTGAAGCTGCAGTCTGCAACGACAGAGCTTGGCTGATGAAGAACAACACTTGAAAGGACAAAAATGTCCTTCTATTTCACAGAGCCTTAACGTCAATTGTGACGGTGGACTAATATTGTCCAACTTTAGTTAAGTTTGGACAAAATGTGACAAAATTAATAAATGCGGACAAATTGTGTGCAACGCGCAATAAATGTAGGACCAAAAATGGATTTAACTCTTTTAATTTTCTTATAATCTTTCTACCTAAATACATAAGTATTTCCATTGCAAGAATGATGAAGGATCTTAAAAGACATTTCATTTTGAAAAAAATTATTTTTTTTGAAATACTCATATGATTATAAGGTAGTATTTGTTATATATTTTCTCAAATATTTTCAGCCCAAAGAATTTAAGCTTCACCACCGGATTTCGAACCTATGACCACCCATTTGGAATGGTAACCGGGATGTCATCGCACTACATGGTAGTTGGCTTAAAAAGATTTATATATTTTAGATCTTTTCTAAATTTCTTGTAGTTATTTCTAAAATATATTTAGAAAAAATATATTTAGAAATACTTATATGTAATTTAGTTAAGAAATATTTTAGGGATAGTTATATAAGATCGAGATATTCCATTAATTAAGAGTTTTAGGTTTATAAGAATTTTATTTTGGGGAAGGATTTTATACTTTTTGTAGTTTCTTTCTAATTAATGGCAATATTAGATAAAATAATAAAAAATAAAAAATTGATATTGTAGTAAAATTAACAAAACTCTTATTTATTATTTAAGTGACCTAGGTTTGTAAGTGTATGATATGTTGATAATGGTTTGACAAAATGCATGACCGATAATGATGTAGAAATACTATGCGATAAAAAAAAAATAATAATAATAATATGCAAATATACCTACTTTAAAATTAAAATAAGTTAAAAAGAATCATATTTTTATAAATAAAGTTTTAAAATACCTTATTTTGAAAAGTACTCACCCGATATGACACTATGTTGCACAACTACAAAAGAAAATATGACACTAAAGGTCCATAATTTCGTGAAAACCGACTTTAACCTGCGAACTGCAAACTTGTGAAGAATTGTACCGCACTTACTACATGATTGCACCGTAAGGTCCTCCAAGAATGCCTGGGAGCCGTAGCAGTGCAATCATGTAGTAGTTGCGGTGCAATCCTTCACAAATTCGCAATTCGCAAATAAAGGTTGGTTCTCACTTGATTATAAATCTGATACTAAAAGTGACCTAGAGGATTAAACATAAGTGTCTTAGTTACTTTGATTAAATTGGTGACCTAAGAAAGTTTGGACACAACATACTATATTGTAAAAAATTTCTGCTGATATATTGAACATACATTTTGATTTTAAATAAATTAGTGTTCAACTTTTTATTTTTTATTATACAAATGTTCATATTGAAATGAGTAGGAACACACTAAGAAATCCAGAAATTGACAAATCAAACAAACAAATATACCTTTTCTTTAGTAGCATCTAAAAAGTATACTTGTTTAGTTATTTCTGGATTACTCAAAAGTTTAGAAGATTAATTAGATTTTCACCTTATTGACTTGTAAAAGGTTAAATATGGAAAATTTTAAAAATAATTAGGTAAGTTTACTTTAATAGCACGTGACTAGTGGTAATAAATTAGGATAAAGCTATAAGGACAATTCTCTTTTTTTTTTTTTTTTTTTAAATACCAAGATAAAATTGGCAATAAAATTATTTTTATTTATCAGTTATTATATTATGAATTGACCAACATAATCCCGTGTTAAATAAAGAATATATATATATATATATATATATATATATATATATATATATATATATATAAAAGTGATCTTTGTTCCACGCGTGTTAGAATAATAAATATTTTGTGGTAGAATAATATACTTTCTATGTTTAGATTAATGAAATTTCTGAAATAAGATAATGTATTTTATGAGTTAGAATAATGTATAATACACTTTGGGTTAGATTAATGAAATTTCTTGGGTAAGATAAATGTATTTTATGAGTTAAAATAATATACTTTATATGTTAGAATAATATATTTTATGTGTTTTTAATTGTGATTCACACAACTATGTGAATTATGGTCCACGCGATAATGATCGAAAAACCTAACTTATTAAAAAACCAAAAAATAAAAATAAAAAATCAAATAAATGAGGTATCCTTATAACGGCCGGGTATGACCCGAAACGGCCCAAAATATGAGGTGAGATTTTCAATAAAACAGGGAAAGCTAAGGAGCAAGAAACGGATAAACCGTTGATTGAGCGCCACGTGGCATAACTGTGATGATGGTATTTTTTTTTCCTTTTTACATAGATCTCAACTTTATCGAATTAATCTTTAACCTACAAAATTCCATTTAAAATCACTACCTAGGTAAATCATTGGCTCCATTTAAAATCATTATCTAGGTAAATCATGAGTCACACTATCCTAATATTTATGTATGTATAAGAGATTCTAATCTTGCATAAGGAATCCCCTACCCAAAAAAGAATTTGTATAAGGAATCAAATCTAGACCTTCCAAAATCTTTAAGCCCGGAGGATCGTACAAGATAATATCTATTTTATACATTCTTTAATTACTACAGTTTAAAAGATTTGATCCTGATTTATACTTTCTTTAATTACTGCAGTCTAAAAGATTTGATCCTGTTTTATACTTTCTTTAATTTATACCGTCTAAAAGATTTGATCTTGTGACCTTCCTTCGAGGGAGCTGTTTCCTTGTGCTTGGCACGTGGTTCTTTTAGCCACATGGTTTCCCTGTCGCCATCATACCTGGTTCCTTCCCCCTTCTATATATATACCCCAAAACCCACGCCTCGTATGTTCGTCGACCGTCGTATCCCTACTTCGGAAAAGCGTACGTAAACGTAGTTTCAGACGATCTTATGATAATTTCAATCAATCGATTGATTGATTGATTGATCAATAAAGTGGTTGTTGATTTATCAGAGGGGAACCGCGGATGGCTGCGCTCTGCCGCTCGCAGTATGTCAGCTTGCGCACGTGCGGCGATTCGGCGGCGAATGACTCGGCCGTCGACGGCGCCGGAGGTGCCGCCGAGATCATGCTGTTCGGAGTTAGAGTGAAGGTGGACCCCATGAGGAAGAGCGTCAGTCTCAATAACTTGTCCCAGTATGAACAGCCGAACAATACCAACAAGAATAACGAGTCCGCCAAAAACTCGCCGCCGCCGCCGCCGGCTGATGAGGGATATGCCTCGGCTGACGACGCCGTCCTCCACCAGCCTAGCAGCGGCCGCGAGCGTAAGCGAGGTCGGATTTCTCTTCACTTATTTTTAACATGTGATTCATATAATTTATTTTTTCATTCATTAGTTCATTGATGATTGTTAATTTGTTATCAATATCTTCGGTTCATTTGTCTAAAATTGTTAGATTTAGCAGTTTTCTGCAACTAATTTACTGGTGAGCCAGACACAGAATCAATTTCAATGTTTGAATTAAAAAATATACATAAATCAATTGCGATTTTGATGAAGCTGTTATTTGGTGATTATTTTAGGAGTTCCATGGACGGAGGAAGAGCACAAATTGTTCCTATTAGGGTTGCAGAAGGTGGGGAAGGGAGACTGGAGGGGAATCTCCAGAAACTTTGTGAAGACTCGAACCCCTACACAAGTGGCAAGTCATGCTCAGAAATACTTCCTCCGCCGGAGCAACCTCAACCGCCGCCGCCGCCGATCTAGCCTCTTTGACATTACCACAGACTCGGTAATAAATAGTAATTCAATCACATCTGTCCTGTCCTTGATCATTCGCATTAATTGAATCCTCTTCCTTTGGTAGCATTACTAAATTCTAGGAGTAATTGCTAAGATCTTTAGTATGCATTCTTATCTTTCTTCTTAGAGCAATGGATAGAACAATATTATAGTAATTATATGCCCCATGAAACTATAATATCATTATGAGTTTAATTGAAATGGGAAAACAAGATAAAATCCAAGAATGGCATTTCTTACATACCATGTTTTGGAATCTAATAAATGAACACTACATGTTCCGGGCTTAACTCACTGGTTCAGTATTTCGGGAAGAGTCGAAAGCTCTGTTACCATGATTTACATCTTTCCAAATGCCCTGCAATGTCGGACGAGGGTGTGGGGGGCTTTGGGTTGGGATTCAACCTCTGCCAAGTGATTCTTAGAACCTGTTTCAGGGGAAATAAGCCCACAAAGTAATCATGAGAATGAGTTTCTTTAACTGTGTGTTGTTATGATAAACAGGTGACTCCAATGTCAACAGCAGCAGATGTAAAAGCTCCTCAAGAAAATTCGACTCTGGCAGCTATCTCACCACCGACGCCATTGCCTACTTCAGAACCATCCCGGATCAATCCATTTTCAGTTTCTCGTATACCGGTGACAGTTGCTCCTGTTTTGCAACCAGTCCAAGTTGAGGAGAAGAAGCCAATAGAAAATCTAGCCATTGCCCGAACAGACGAGGTCAATAATCCAATTTCCAGGTTTATCTGCCCAGTGACTACTAATCCATCAGCACGAATTGAGCTTAACTTGAATCAAGGCATGGACACCGAGCCTTCGTTTTTGTCATTGAGTCTGTCTTTGTCTGTGAATCAGAGTCCATCATCTTCTTCTAGGCACCCAATATATCCAGGGATGTCAAGCTTCAACAATGGAGATACCACCATCATAGTGTCATAAATAAGAGACTCTATATAAGTAAGAATAATATTAGAGTGGGTTGGGTTAAGGAGTTTGAGTAGATCTTAATTGTTGTTTTGTTTTGTACACACAAAATATTTGTTTGCCTGCCTACTTCTTTTATGCTTCTTAATTTCTAGTTCTGGGGAAAACTGAATCTTGAATAACAGTGGTGTGTTTGTTCAAGGTGGACCATCCACTGTTTAATGTTTGTGTGCAAGTGTGTCCGCTGGCGTCTCTGGTGGGGTCCTTTTTATAAATACTGATTTTTAGTAATTATAAAATTAATTTTTCTTTTTAAAACTAAAACTCTCAAAATGAATTGGACGGTCTACTGCAAACTTAGAAGATTAACTCATAACCAATATCCTCGATCGATAAAATTAATCAAATTCGCACTAAATTTAAAATACTACTTAATATTAACAACTCTGCAATACCAAATACTCCGTATTATTTAAACTTTTGATAGTCATGAAATGCAAAATAAATCATTTACTATATAAATTTTCAAGCACATCAGTATGTCGAGACAGAGAAAGTAAACTGAGGCAAAAAAAACGAGAGGATGAAGGAGCGACTAAAAGATCCTAAACATGAGAACCCTCAAGAGCAAATTAAGACAAATTTGAACAAACTCAATGGCTAAATTGGAGTGCCCGTGGGGCCAAGCCCATTTATCCAGGTAGCCCCTTATTAATCCCACAAATATCAATCGTTATACCGTGCACCCGGCGCACATAGGCACTATGCGCTCCGCGCCTCCCAAAACGACGCAATTTTGTTAAGTTCTTTAAAAAAAAAAAAAATTATCTGTTTCGAATCACATAAACTCATAATAGAATATACATAAACTCATAACAGAATACACATAATCTAACATTAACATAATACATAATACACATAAACTTTTAACTAAATACACATAATGTGGTTTGGTTAACATAATACACATAAACTCTTAACTGAATACACATAAACTTATAACACAATACACATAAATTTTTAACTGAATACACATAATGGGGTTTGGTTAACATAATACACATAAACTCTTAACTGAATACATATAAACTCATAACACAATACATATAAAATTTTAACTGAATACACATAATGAGGTTTGGTCTGTTCGGACGGACGGAGTGACGTCAACAAGAAACGCGCGCGTTTTGTGCCTGGGCGCACACTGCTATGTGCGCCATGGTGCACGATATAAATTGCCTACAAATACTATTAATGCCTTTGACAACACAACCAAGTGAGGTCTAGCAATGTAGTGAGATTACATCCCCAACAGTTGGAGAACCCCAGCTATTAACAATTCAAAGTATTTTCAATTTCACCGGGTGTGATACAAACACGATACTGATGAGGTTCGAAGGTTGAAAATGGAAATCGATTTCAAGATTTTTATAAATTAGGACAATGTGCTATAGAGGAACATTTCGAGGTGAGAAAGGAAAAGACATTCACCCAATCCCCTATAGCGAGGGAATTGAGAATGACGAATGGGCCTAGGGTTTGATTGACAAAAAACAAAAAGTAGTGATCAATGTAATTTTTGGTGGTCCAACAAAGAATATGGATACAAATGGGGTCTATGGGAGACCCGACCAATATGAAGAAATAGCAAATAGAGCTCATTGTGTTTACTAATAAAAAGTTACCCCCAAAAGGGATTGCCCACTAAGATGCCTTAGTTATCTCAATGGATATCAATAGTATTGTTTCCCGAAGGGTGCTGGTGTACACGGGCAGCAACGTGAATGTGATGTATCATGACATGTTTTTAAAGTTGAGGCTTTCAAAGAACCAGTCGCAACCAATTGGGACTGCATTAGTAGGGTTCACAAGCGATATCACTAAAGCAAAATGTATGATCTCTCTACCAGTTGAGTTAGGTGTGGGCCAAATGAGGACTGTGGAGTTTGTATTAAGTTAGCTAGTACACATAGCATCATCTTGGAGTGACCGGGGTTTGGCGAATCTAGGGTCTCTCATATCTATGGAAAACCTATGCATGAAATTTTGAACGGATAGGAGTAATTTGTACTTCTTCTGTCTCATTTTATGTGTATGGTTTGATTGCAGAAGGAGTAATAGATTTTGATGATACCAAATGTATTAGGAAATTAAGACCCCCCGACTTTTAATGTTTAGAACTTAGGATTTTTCGTTTGTATTCACATCCTAGAACGTCTTCTATAAAGGGTCAAACTATAGTACTCGAGGAAAGTCAATATCTGAACAGTAACATAGTACTCTAAACATTACTACCTAGAGAATATACAACCAGATAGTAAAGGACCATAAGAGTTCAAGGCTAGAAGATCTTGAAGAGTTGATTTGGCTAAATAGTAGTGGTTGTCTAAGAAGTGCAATGAGACTGAAAAGTGGATAAGGTCACAAGAAGCTCAAATCCGAGCAGTGACTTTTCACCATTTGGATTATCAAGCGACATTCCGCATAATATTAGTAAGGGACGTTGTTTGTCCTGAGGAGTTGGGTTACAAGTCTAGAGGGGAGGGGGTGAATAGACTTGTAGAAATTTAAAACTTTTTTTGAAAACTTTAAGTCCAAGAAAACTTAAAGTTATGATAGAAGTTTTGAAACAAAGTACGCAGCAAAAAATGTTAAGCCCTTTTTAATTTCTTGCACGTATTGACCATTGTACAATGGTCGCGTAATGTCTTTTACAATGGTCGCATATGTATAGTTCTGTACTAGTGAGACTTCACTTGAAATCTTCTTAATGTTTATCAAAGCCTTGAGCTTGATCTAGAAGTTTTAGCTCTTGAGTTTCTCTTTCACTAGTTAAGGGTTTGATTGGTTGTATGCTTGTGAGTTCTCTTTTAACACTTGTAAATTAACCAATACCTCATTTAGTTTTGAATGGAGGTATTTATAGACTCATTTGAATATGTTTGTTGGAAAGAACAAATTCAAATGTCTATTATCCTTCATGTATTGACCAGTGAGTAATGCGTATGTTGCTTTTGCTCAGATTTCTAGCTGTTGCCTCTACTTTTGGTGTCTGCTTTTTGTTTTCTAAACTGCACCTTTTGTATTGACTTTTCAAGAAATTTTTCTTGAAAAATGCACCTAGGGCTGTTTTTCCTTTAGTAACATTCCTTTTGCAATGTTTGACGGAAGTTTATTGTTCATTCAGAGAATGTCCAAACAGATGATTCGTAAAGTTACCATGACTTCTCGTTGGTAACTTTTTGCATCATTCCTCAGTAACCTTTTGAATTTGAATTTTTTTAGTCAATCCTTTACTTTTCGTAAGTGTTAACTATTCGCTAAGTTAACTTTCCATTTCCCAAATTTCCAGTCAAAGTTGGTCCTTCCATTATTTGACCATTTAACCTTCCGGTCTTCAATTTTCAACTTCTCAAATCTTCAGCTTTTCTGAACTTGACTTCTCGAAAATGACCTTTCGAGAGTTACTATTCTGACTTTCTGAGACTTAACTATCCTTAGGTTACTTTTCGAACTTAGTTTACTTTCCGGTTAGTAAAATTCATCCTCTAAGTGAACATTTCATATTTACATTGAAAAATTTCCTAAGTGTAGAAAATAAAAAATAATTGGGGACCTAACTTTTTAACATGTCTGGTATCATCAAAATCTATCTAACACTTGTTCCTAACAGACATAAAACATTCCCAATCGTACAATGCTAAAAAAAATGTTACCAAGGTTTCAACAATTTCTATGTGCATTTATCGAGGTGAGTTATCCATTTTTAGCTAAATCAAAAAGTAACTCAGAAAGTCGTGATTTTCACGAGCCTATGTACAGTTGAACGGGTCGAAAATCTGACGAATGACAGCCTAACATGCAAAAATCACTGATCACTACATATTGGTCAAGGCTGCTGTTTGAATTTTGTTTCCCTCCAACAAAAAAAAAAAAAAAAAATCAAAGAGTCAATAAATATTCCAATTCACAATTAATAGAAGTGTTGGTATTCTAATTCACGAAGCAAGAGATTTCAAGTGTCATCTAGTTAGCTAATTCAAGAGAGAAAATTGCAAAGACTTCAAGGCCAAGATTAAGAACATTTGACTCAAGTTGTGATCAAAGTCAACCATCTAGAAGCTAAGTTAACAGTTAGAGAACATCAACACAACATGTGTTAACCAACTAATATCTCTACTTGGAGAAATAGAAAGAAGAAGAGTAGCAAGCGTAGACTTGTAAAAACTTATTAAGACTTGTTGTTGGTTTTGTGATCAAAGCACAGACACTCACCACTTTGTATTAGGGTGAAAAACTTATTAGAACATCCTAAGTATTCTAAGAGAAGAGTGGAGTATGCAGTTATTAAACCACTAGAAAAATTCTCCCTCTCATTTTACTTTACGTACTTTTATTTCTTTCACCTACAAACCACCTTATCATTTCTAACAAGATAAAACATGTGTTTAATTCATTAAAAAGGGTAATATATTTATTACGTTGTGTACTTGTCACTTTTCGATTTTGACTAAGCTAATAATTAAGATTTCAACTTCACTTTATGGAGTAGTGTAAAGATCTTTAATTTCAGAAGGCATAAGAGAGAAATTAGGATGTCATGCATCCCATGGGAAGAATGTGGTAATGAGCATTCGAAATATCACTCAATTGCTACCTAACGTGCGCTAAAAGGGTACAAGCTACCAACACCTAAGAAAATAAAAAGGATTAAAAAAAGTGAAGGAATAAGGAAGAAAGCTAGGACACCCCACATCATGAGGAAGTGTGGGTTTAAAAATCACCCAAGTTTCTGTATGTAAGGTCTACAACCAAAGGAATATGGTAAAAAGAATACCCACTACCCGTCGCCCTAAAAATGTTTTTTTTTTTTTTAAGTGAAGACATTAGGAGGATAGCCGGCAAGGTTGGTTTTTAGATTTTTGTGGTCCCGTTCTGATAAATAAATGAGGTCTTACCAAAATCACAATCTTTAAAATCAATACAGTAATTTTTTCTAATAATAATAATAATAATAATAATAATAATAATAATAATAATAATAATAATAATGTAGTAAAATGTTGTGGTGCGCAAAGAAAAAAAATAAAAGACATATTATGAAATAAATTACAATTATAACGATAATAATAATGGTGTGAGCGCAATGCAAAGTTTCGAACCACTGACCTACAAATTAAAACACAATAAACACACATTTT